TTTTTTTTTTTTTTTTTTTTTGGAGGAAAAAGGGTCTCACTACATTGGCTAAATTGCTTAGGTTGGGCCTGCACTTGTGATTACAGGCAGTTGCTACCACACACAGCTTACCCTGCTCTTTTTGTCCCTTGATATTGCCACCACTTTGCCATCCATGGGGGCCTCCGCACTTGCCCCTCCCTCTTCCTAAACCTTTCTCTCTCCAAACTTCAAATATGTGACTCCTCACTGCATTCAAGGAGCCACTCAAACATCGCCTCCACAGAGTGCCTCTCCTAACCTCATCTGAAATGGATTCCATCCCTGTTTCCCTACTCCTGCTTCATTTTTCTTCACAGCACTTTCTTTTAACCATCTGACAGTACTTTATAGGTCCATCTACTTTTTAAATTTTCTCCCTTTCTTACTAAAGTGTCAGCTCCTCAAGGTAGGCACGTGGTATGGCTGGTTCTCTGCTAAGCCCTCAATGCTTGGCACAGTGCCCGAAACATAGTATCTATTGAATGAAGTGACCTTAGTAATTAATAGGCAGATATAACTATGGATGGAAGGGGGAGGGTCGGAGGAAGAGAGGGACACAGGGAGGACAACTGTGGAACCACAGCTCACAGTGGCCATGCCCCCACTTACAGGATATAGGCGATGACCCCAATGGACCAGCAGTCCACAGCCTTGCTGTAGGGTTTCTGGGCCAGGACTTCAGGAGCTATGGAGGAAAGGGGACAGGGTGGTGATAAATTTCTGCCTTGCAGCTCCTGGTTCCTCCCCTGCCCACAGACAGCCCAGGGCCCTCCGCACCCACGTAGCCTGGGGTCCCACAGGCTGTGGAGAGCACGCTGCCTGGATCTTCCATCTTGGAAAGGCCAAAGTCAGAGATCATGATCTTGGAGTCTTCGTCCAGGCTGTAGTAGAGCAGATTCTCTGGCTGGGAACAGGGCAGGCAAGGGAAGTTGGGGCTGGCCGGGGACACAGAGCCTTCTGCTCCCAAGGCTTGCAGGGGTAACAGCCACTGGGCAGCCAGATGGCTTCCATCTTGGCTGAAGGCAGGAGGAAACCAAGAAGTTCTCAGTAAAGACAGGGAGGAAATGTTCTGTATACCTATAAGATCCCTTTTGAACATCTCTGTGTGGCTGCGCTAGTGAGTGCCTGATTGGCTTCATCCTCACCACATTCCCCACCAGCTGGCCTGAAAAAGCTCACTTTATAGGTGAGGACAACTGTGCCTGGAGAAGCAAAGTGACTTGCCCGAGTCAGCCAGGGAGGAGCAGGGCCAGGGTTCAAACCCAGAGCTGGTCACCTCCTAGACCAGGCCAAGACTGCCACGTATGTGCCCCATCACTGTGTCTAAGGAGCAGGTTTCAGACCATCTTCCTTAGGTTTTGCTGTCCTGACCAAGTTCTCTACAAAGAACAAGTGGGACTTTTATGGTCAGAAAAGGACACAGCACATTACCCAGATAAAATGACAGTACAATTCCCTGTGAGTGTCTGATCTGAAGCCGGAACAAGTGGTTTAGGGTCACAAGGTGCTTTTTGCAGGTGGGAAGCCATGGCTGGGGGAGGTGGGGTGAGAGGTGCCCAAGGATACCAGTGAGAGGTTTTTAGAGGCCCTGCCCCGGGCCCCCCAGCCCACCATACTCTGAGAGCCTCACCTTGAGATCCCTGTGTACAATGCCCAGGTCGTGCAGGTACTTGACAGCGTCTAGTACCTGGAAGATGAGGCGACTGGCGTCCCGCTCTGTGTAGAAGCCTTTTTCCACAATGCGGTCGAACAGCTCCCCACCTGACACCCTGCAGCAGGGGACAGACATGTGGCCTAGGGAGCAAAGGCAGCAGGGAAAGGGGGAGAGGGGTGGCAGTGCCACTCACAGCTGCATGATAAGGTAGAGGTGGCAGCCACTCTCATAGATGTCATCCAGGGCTACAATGTTGGGGTGCTTGATCCTGAAAGGAGAAACAAGGACAGTTCAGCCACCGCCCCAGTGCCTGTGCTGGTGGGACAAACCAAGGACCTGGCCCCACCAGGAAAAGTGGATTTATACGATTTATTAAAATTTCTTGGAAGGCACAGAGTAAAGTAGCAAACTCGGGGCTCTGGAAGCAAGACATCCTGCTCTTATAACATGCTATGTGTGCAGGTCTTTCCCATCATACCCCTGGTGGACAGGGGGCTCCTAAAGCCTTCTGGGTTACACACTTGTCAGCCTCCCCCACCAAAGGTCAGCTGCTCGTCTGGAGATGGTTACCGCTGCCCCCACAGTGTTGTGTGCAGAGTAGGCGTGCAGGAGCACTTGGTGAGTCTAACATAAACTTGGCCTGAGTTTCATCATCTATAAAATGCAGCCAGTGACAGGACTTCCTTCAGAGAGCACAGATGAGGGTTGCACAGGGTCACACAAGTGGGGAGAGGGTTGCACTAGCATACAGTACATACTCAATGGATGGGCTAGTGATGGAGACTGATCTTGGGGAGGAAGACATGGCTCGGCCACCAGTCCTATGTGACTCTGAGCCAGTCTCTGGCCCTCTCTGGGCCTAATTCTCCCACTTTCACTTCCTGATAGTAGAAATGATCATTTCTCTTCTGCCCAGGATAGTTGGGAAGCTCAGGGGAGAGACTGGAAGTGAAGGTTCTCTACACACTTTCCAGTGTGAGCAAGCGGCTGCAGTCAGGGGCCAAGGACTTAGCCCAGTGGTTTTGCCGCCTGCCTCACAAGCTCAAGGTCCTGAGTTCGATCTCTGGTTCAAAAAAAAAAAAAAAAAAAGGCTGTAGTCAGGGTCAGCAGGGTCAGTAGACTCACAGCTTTCAGCCTGTGAAGTAGCTTGAACATGTAGGTGGAACTGAAGTTGGTCTAGAGATAGCAGTAGCTGAGACGTACTTGGGTTCAAGCCATGACTGAGGGCTGGCCTTGGGACCTGACTGAGCAGATTAATCCCCTGGAAATAAATCCTGGCACATCAATTGAATCTGTCTTTGTTAGCTGTTGTGCTAGCCTCTTAAAATAAAGGACCTCTATGCCCCCACACTCCTGCCAAGTGGAAGGTCTACCTCTCTTTTGTAAATGAGACTGTCAGGCTCAGAAAGTTTAAATGGTTTGTCTAAAGCAGGGAAGGGTCAAGCAAGGGCAGCCTGGGCCCAGACTCGCTATGGCTTACGCACTTGTGCAGGACAGCAATCTCGTTCTCCATGCTGCCTTCTTTACCCTCTAGGGCCTTCTTGGCGATGCATTTGATGGCCACCAGCTTCTGAGTCCTCTTATCTTCAGCCAGGATGACCTCTGAGAAGGCCCCCCTTCCAGGAAGAGGGTTCAGGAGGTGAGGACTAGAGTCCCAGCCTCCCTTGGCCTCTGCTCCACCCCTGTGGATTCTGTTAACACTTCTGGACTAGGAGGTGAGGAGACTCCACCAAGCACTGATCTAACAACCCTTGCTCCAGAGGGGGCCATGTGACCCAGGCTGACCAAATAGAGCAGTCTGTCCCCTGGCCATGGTCACTGGTCATGTGACACAAGCCCAGCTAACTGGCACTGTAAGAATGAGGTGCCCTCTTCTGTGAAGTTTTAGGATGTAAGCCTAGAGCAGATGGCAGTCATTTTTGTCACCACTCAGGGAAAGCCTTTTTTTTTTAACTTTTATTGAAAATATTTTTTTTCATTAAATTTACTGGTGCTTTTTAGGTGTACAGTACAGTTACAGTCATCATTGGGATCTTGTACCTTTACATATTATATCTTGGTTCTTATTTTTTTAACCATTTCTCTGCCCTCCCTTCACCCCCTCTACCCTTCCCTATTTACAAAGACTTTGTTTCCATTTTTTCCTTTTCTCATATGTTTTCTTTTCCCTTAGAAATGTATTGGCTTGGGCCAGGGATTTAGCTCAGCGGTTCAGTGGCCTGCCTTGCAAGTGCAAGGACCCAAGTTCAATCCCCGGTACCAAAAAAAAAAAAAAAAATGTATTGGTTTGCAGCTCTGGGGACCAAAAAATTGCAATTAAGGGGTAAGCAGGGTTTTCTTTTTTTTTTTTTTTTTTTTTTTTTTTTGTACCAGGAATCAAACTTAGGACCTTGCACTTCCGAGCCAGGCACAGTGCCACTGAGCTACATCCCCGGCTGGGACCTACTTGAGACTGGAACCAACACAAAGGAAATGAGACCTGAAAAATGGCTGAAGACCATTTCCTAACATCGTGTGGGCCCTGAGTCCAACCAAGCCTGACTACCCTGAGCTTTTAGGTCATATGGGTGGTTTGATTCATCCTTTTCCTGCTAAAGCCAATCTGGGTCACAGCCAATTTAATGTCTTTTAGAACTCTGAAGAACTATCGTCATCACTTGGGAGCTTCTTAGAAACATAGCATCTCAATCTGCATAGCAGACTTCCTCAATTAAAACCTACATTTCAGCAAGGTCCTCAAGTGATCTGTATGTTCGTGGGAGTTTAGGAATCCGTTTAGGTTTCTAGGAAGGAGCAAATATTTCATTTACACTAAGCTTCAACGATCAAGGAGCATTTACTAGGCTTTTCTTTCGACATCTGTTTGCTTTCCCCAGGGGATATGAAGTCATAAATCAGCCAGGTCAGGGTCCATGCCTGTAATCCCAGCTACTATGGAGGCTGAGGCAAGAAGGCCTATCAGTTCAAGGCCAGCCTGGGCAATTCAGCAAGACCTTGGCTGAAAATTTTGAAATATATTTTTTAAATCTCAGTAGTAGAGTGCTTGCTTAGCATGTGTGATGACCTGAGTTCAATTCCCAGCACCACACGTTCACATTAAGAAGTGGGGAGGCAGGGCCAGGGATTTAGCTCAGCAGTTCTGCCACCTGCCTTGCAAGCGCAAGGACCTAAGTTCGATCCCTGATACCAAAAAAAGCAGTGGGGGGTGCTGTAAAGAAAAGCATTTCCTGGGCCAGGGATTTAGCTCAGTGGTGCTGTCACCTGTCTTACAAGTGCAAGGTCCCAAATTTGATCCCCCATCCCAAAAAAAAAGAAAAAGAAAAGCATTCCCTGTGGTGCCATTTTAATCATCAGAGATCAGGGATAACTGCAGTCACCTCAGCCCTCTCCAAGATACTGTTCACACTGGCCAGGGTGACAGGCTAGTAGAATCGTAGACCCATCCTAAGTCTTAAATGGCTTCTTATAGCAGGGCATGGTACTGGACAAAGTCACAGCACAAGGCAAGCTGAGGCAGGAAGATTGCTGTGAGTTCAAGGCCAGCCTCAACTACACAGCAAGACCTTGTCTCAAAAAAAAAAAAGTGCTTCCTGTGGCCCGTGGGATGAAATCCAGCCTTCTTAGCCTGGCTTTCAAAACCCCATATGCTTTCTGTTCCACTTCATCTCCAACCTTGTCCTCTCCTCCTCCAGCCTCTGACTGTAAGCTGATTCAGGCTTTTCACCTCTTTTGGCACATGCCTCGCCTCTGACCCTTCACTTGTACAGTAAGTCCCTGACCTACGTTTTGCTTTTTTTTCTGGTACCTGTAATCAAACTCACCACCTTGTGCTTGCAAAGCAGGCACTGCGCCACTGAGCTAAACCGATGGCCCTGACCTGTGAACTTTTACAGGTGTACTGTACTATGTAAGACTCTGTCAGCTTATGAACGAATCTGACTTATGAACATTCTCCTGGAATGGAACCTGCTCATAAGCCAGGGACTTACTGTACTTTCCCTTCTGCCTGAATGCCTTTTTCCTCTCTGAGCATGCACACCTCACCGTCCTTTAGTCCCCAGTTCTAATGCCCACTTCTCCAGGCAGAAGCCACAGCTGTCTCTGGGCTCTGCACAGCTCTCATTCCCAACCTCAGCTGGAGTACTACACACACATCATTTTCTGTGGTGCTGCCTCCCTATGTGTCTAGGGTCAACCTGATGGGCAGAGACTAGGTATTAGTCGTCTCTGGGTCCCCAGCACCAAGGATGGAGCCATGTCCAGCCTCAGTTTCTACACGTAAGCCAGGAAACCCAGCTTTTACCAACGAGCTGGATAAGTGGCCCTTCATCCTCCCCTACTTCCCTTTATTGGGAACATTTGGCTGTGCAAAAGGAGCCCCTCCCAAACCACTGTCAGCCAGAAATGAAAAGCTGGGACCAGTCTGGGCTGTGGTGAGGCCAACAAAGGCCTTGGCTGTAGGAAACAGGAAGTGTTGATCAACTGGCCAGAGGAAGCACCACCCGGAAATGGTCTTCCCCAGCTCTACAGGCTCCAAGTGAGGCCCTCCCCAATTCTACCAGATGCAGAGCCCCATCCCACCCACCCTGAAACTCACGTGCCCAGAACATCTCGGAAGTCATAAATGTCCCTAATGTCCTCTGCCTGCTTCCAGCTGGGGCCTTCCACGGGCCCCGGCATGGCCCACTGCTCCCCGGCCACAGCCAGGGCTCCTGGAGGGAATGGAGGGAGGAAACTCAGCCAGGCCCAGCCTTCTCTCTGGGAATTTACTGTATGCCCCATTCAGTTTTGAAACTGCACCTACTGACCCCTCCATCCATACATTTGACAAAATCATTCAATATTCATTCATTCACCCATCATGTGTTCATTCAAGAATATTCCTTCTGCAAATTCTTAGGCCTAGAGATAAAATTTTCATGATGGCAACATAATTTTTTACTCAACAAAGTCACACATTTTTTACCTTTATTCACATTTGCATCCCAGTTTTTCCCTCTCCAAATCCAGACAGCCAGGGAAACCCTGATCTCTGAGAGGACAGCAGATAATGCCCCAGAGCAGTATGTAGGGATACAGGGCCCTGGAGGATGCCATGTCCCTGGGACCAGTAAGGTCCCAGCTTCACCCTGGGAACTGCTAGGGTGTCTGCTCTCCCCTCCTCCTTCCTACCCTGGCCTCTCAGAAATCAGGTTTCCGGCGGCCTGGGCTTCCAGCAATATCTCAGCCACATTTTAAAATAGCTCTTTTTCACTGTTACCATGGCAACAACAGCCACAGCTGGAGCTCCCTAGGTCTCTTCCTCTGGACTCCCCCTCTGGGTACAGGAAGCTGACAAATGGTCCCACTCTTCCCTCCTCCCTTCATCTCACCCCCTAGTCACTGCCTAGACTTCCTGTTCTGAGACCTTTGCTCATTTTGTAGGAGAGTTCTCTCCCCATTTATCAGATAGGGAATGGGTAGACTGAGGTCAGAGGTGGGCAGGGCCTGAGCGACACCACAGGTGCCCAAATGACACCAGCTGGTATCCCAGCCAAGCCTGCTGAGGGAAGAGGCCATGCAGGAGCTGTCCTCAGCTGGTCTCTCCAACGTGAAGCTAGACTGGACAACACAGCCACTCAGTCCTGTGCAGGACCACAGCAGGCCAAGCAAAACACGGCCCAGCATGCTGTGCGGCCTCGAGGAGTCTCTCTCTTTTTTTTTTTTTTCTCTCTCTCTTTCTCTTTCTCTGACCCTCTTCCTGGACAGGAGCCTAGTGTTAGAGTCCTTCCATAGGACTCTGCTCCCCAGGGCAGAAACTTCTAACAAAAGAAACTTGATGTCAAGCTCTGGCAGCACTCTTAAGCCCACACATCCTGCACCAAGAAGCCACCCCAAGCCTGTCCACATCCCGAACACAGACATCTACCTGCCCCCAGGACCCGTCTTGTATCCAGACACTGAATCACCTGGTTTCATGTACGCCCCGATGTCAAGACCCATGTCCACACACTCCCCAGATACCCTAAACCTGACACCTGTCTGCCAGCCAATGTCCCTCTTTCAGACTTTTTGTTAAAGACAGGGTCTGGCTATGTAGTTCCTGCTGGCCTCAAGCTGTAGCCCAGGCTGGCCTCAAACTCTTGGCAATCCTCCTGCCTCAGCCTCCCAAGTGCTGGGATTTCAGGCATGAGCCACCACACCTAGCGTCCTCATTCAAACTCTTACACTCCAAAGCACACATCCCAGCCAGGAGCCGAGGCTGAGGCAGGAGGATCACAAATTCAAAGCCACACTTGAGACACTGTCTCAAAAAACCAAAAAAGACAAAACACATCAACGCAGCACAAGATACCGCATATAGGCTTCATGTGAACCTTCAGCCCCCAGTTCCTCTCCCTCACACCTGGAAACTCCGGTCCTCTAAACCGAATCTCAGCTTCTTACGCACGGGACTCCACAAACACACTCAGTTCACAGCTGACACCCCTCCCCCAGCCAGACATCTGCGCACAGGGCCCCGGACCACCCGCATCCCCGGCTCCCTGTGGGGACCGCAGCCTGCACCGGACCCCACGCCTGTGCGGAGACCCGAGCACGCCGGCAACCCAGATGCCCACGCCCTTCTCCCGCGCCTAACTGCGCGCCTCAGACCCTGGCCCT